GAAGGTTCCTGAAACCTCCTGGCCTGAAATCTCTAGAGCTGTTGTCAGGAAGCACAACTCCCAAAAAGTTGAGTGGTGCTGGCAAGAGAGAAGGGGGTGGGCAGCACCTTAGGAGAAAGGGCTAGAATCAAAACCAGCCCATTCCCCACCTTCATGCAGAAGGTGAAGTAGCAAAGACTGAAGACTATGTCTTTACAAACATTAAACTTTACAAACTGAAAGCCCACATTGGGCTAGATTAAATTGCTGCACAGTGACACAAACTGTAGTTCCCTGAAACCAATGACTTAAAGACAGAGGGGATGATTGTGATCATCTAATCCAGGGACTGGCAACCTTTGGCACATGGCCCATCAGGGAAATCCACTGGCAGGCCAGGACAGTTTGTTTACTGCAGTGTCCGCAGGTTTGGCCAATCACAGCTCCCACTGGCTGCGGTTCACCGTTCCAGGCCAATGGGGGCTACGGGAAACAGCGTGGGCTGAGGGATGTGCTAGCTGCCGCTTTCAGCAGCCCGCATTGGCCTGAAACGGCTAATAGCCATTGATGAACCTATCCTCCATGAATTTATCTAGTTCTTTTTTGAATCCTGTTATAGTCTTGGCCTTCACAACATCCTCTGGCAAGACAGTTCACAGGTTGACTGTGCGTTCTGTGAAAAAATATTTCCTTTTATTTGTTTTAAACCTGCTGCCTATTAATTTAATTTGGTGACCCCTAGTTCTTGTGTTATGAGAAGGAATAAAATAACACTTCCTTATTTATTTTCTCCACACCGATCATGATTTTATAGACCTCTATCATATCCCACTTAATTGTCTCTTTTCCAAACTGAAAAGTCCCAGTCTTATTAATTGCTCCTCATATGTAAGCCGTTACATGCCCCTTATCATTTTTGTTGCCCTTTTCTGCCCTTTTTGAGATGGGGAAACCACATCTGCATGCAGTATTCAGGGTGTGGGCATACCATAGAAATGCAGGAGATATGTTATGTGTTTTAGAAAGCATTACTGTTTTTCAGTGTAGCAGATCTCTGAAATACAGAAAAAGGATCGATTGATGTCTTAATGCCTATATTTAAAATAAAAAAACAAGGAACAATAAGAAAGAGGGAATTCACTGGCAATAATAGTCTCTGCCAATACCAAAATAGCCCCTTTTCCCTACCCTGAAACTTTAAGCAGTTACAGCCATGCCAGGGATTAGTGCTGTAACAGCCATTCATCGCACTTGGCATTGCTGACAATAAAAAGTAAAAAACCAAAATTGTTGCGATACTCTCCCACCCCTAAAGCAAACAGTCATAAGCTTGTTAAAAAAAGTTTACATTCTCCTGATAAGAGGGGCTTCTAAAGAAGTGTAAATACTACAGACAAATAGATTGGACAACTTGGACAACCCCTCCACAACACAAACCTAACCCCAAGTTGATAAAGACATTTAGAACAGAGCACATCCATTGCATTAATATATGCAATGTCACATGAACAAGTCGCTAATGACCTTCTAATACAGGGGAATAAATCCCTCCCAATGCTATATAGCCCATACATATGTACCAGTGTTTCCTTATGGCAGCTTTATAGGATGTGAAAGTGTCTCTCAGCACACACAGATGTCATCATCTGCCTCCCTACTATTCCAAGATGTGTGCTCATATGACATCCCTGTTTTCCCCTGCCTGCTGGGAACCAGGACCAGTGTACAGTGTGGGTGGGATCAGGCTTCCTGTACAGAGTTTGAAAAATAGAGTTGTCGTCAGCCCACTAGGGACTGAAGCACTCCCCAGTACACTCATAAATGTTACGTAGTGCTCAGCAGGCGATGATTATATGCATGGTGTTTGCCACACTGGCATCCAGATGGGTGTGTAGGCAGCACCAACAAGCTTTCAGCCTACCAAACATGCTTTCTATGACCATTCTTCAATGAGCTTATATCTGGATTCCCTTTTTCCAGGGTCACTTATGTTGGTGTATGGTTTCGTGAGCCAAGGCAGGAGTAGGTATACGGGGTCCCCCAAAATGACAGTTGACCCAGACGCACTGTACAGAACCATATCATTTATGGTGAATAAAGTCCCTTCTCCCCCCTTCAGTTATAATCCTGATCACCTCAATACCCTGGCATCATAAACTTTTCCAGTATACATGAGCCTGCCTGTACGTTCCACTAAGCCTTGCAGAACAATTTAATAGTAACCTTTTCTGTTCACATACTCAGTTGCCCCTCATGGTGGGCAAAGTATTGAGATATGAGTGCTACTGATGGCCCCAGCACAGTTTTGAAACCCCTATTATTTCTGGAATTTTTCTTATGGCAACTGCCTAGGAGTAAATGACAGTGTTAACTGCCTCACAAACTTGCACAACCTTGACCCCAACAGTAAACTTTCCAACCCCAAAGTGCTTTGCAAAAGACCTATAGCTGTCTGGTGTAACCAGTTTCCATAGGACAGTGGCTTACCTGAATTGACAGTTGTGGCTCTTGCCACATAGATCCTTGAAGGTAGGGTGACTATATGTCCTGTTTTGGCCGGGACAGTCTCTTAGCCTTGTCCTGGCCATCCCAACTTTTTGGCAAAAGTAGGCATTTGTCCCTTTTGCTCTTGTCAACTGATCAAGCAAGACAAGAGGAATGCCTTTTTAAAATACTTTTCAGAATACACCCCTTCTTCTTTTGGGTAACCTTTACTGGTTTAACAGCATCATCACTCACATGAATAAGAATTATTTAGAAGAGCAAGGGTTGCAGGATCAGGCCTAGAAACTAGGATGAAGGCCTTCTCATTGACATCAGTGCAACCCAGTGAAATCAATAAGTTTGTGACGGTGTAACTGAGTTTGAATAACAGAGTTTGAATACAGAGGTTGAATAACAATTCATGCAAAACAAGTATTGCAGAGTTTGAATAACAATTTATACTAAAAATTATCCTTTGACAAGATACAAGTCAATATTTTTAAACTTTTAAAATTTCACTGATCAAATCTGAGTCTTGATTTTGTTTCTCGGAGCATAAATATTAGAAAAGATTTTAACCATATATTTGCACAGGTGATTTTGAAATGCTCAGCAAGATCTTGTGCCCAGATTTTTAGTATCTATTGATTCCTGTATTTAAATTTATGGTGCATTTCACACTGTTCCCTGCTGTGGTCATCTTAAGATCCTGGCTGTCAGGTCACTAGGAAATAAGCAATGAATGGCAGAAAACCCCTGTGCCTGTTCTTATCTATAGAATGGCAAACATGAGCAGAGTTCTGTGCAAAGACTGCTATGCTGTCAAAAGTAAAATCACAAAGGGCTACACTCATATATATTTATTTATATATTTCAATATATTTCTAAATTTGCGAAAGTCTTTTTCTTCACCACAATCGCATCATATCTGAAATTATTTTATGGCTAGGAGCAAGAGTTGGGAGGCCATCTGTTCTTTCATATTGACTGTCAGATGAGTATAACCATTTCATTCAGGGTTTTGAAAGTGCCAAAAATGAAACAAGTTCCACACATGTTAATGAGATTTTCCAAAAAACAAAACAAAAACAACTCTATTTAACCATTCCAAACAAAAAGTTTTCACTTTTAAAATATATTCAAGATGTATTTATTACTATTGTCACTAGAAAAAAACAATTAGATTCCAACTAGCAATAACAGGAAAAGTGGATGAAGGTCAAGACATATTTGGTAAACTACATCTAGCTTTTATACTTGCTATTTTTAAAAACAAACCTTTAATTTTGAAATTCACAGCCTATCCACCATTACAAGCCCCTTCAGGGCAATGATCTATCAAGTTCTGACTGTCTCAAACTGTTTGTGCTGGATTCAGCATCTATCACTCCTCAGACTTGCTGCACATTCAGCCATAGAGACAAGAAACAATAATTTTCAATTAAGAAACCTGGAGAAGACTTGGGGACTTGATTTATGGTGCATGACTAATTATTGAATAGCTAGCCTAATGAAAATTAAGCTGCTGGTTACTACAAAGATTTAACTTCATTTTCTTGAGGAGATGCTGATATGACCCGGAGTATAATTTATTGAAGTTTTATTATATATTTTAAAATAGACAAAGACATATAAATGATCTAATTGTCATTTTTAAAATATGGTATTTTTTTACATTCTATACCCTAATGGAGCTTGTACTTCATATAAATTTAGACTGAATTAAAGGCTTCTTGTTGCATGAAGTTAAAGTATTTCCTTGTGGATGGTAATGAAAGAGAGAGAAATATGAAGGAGGACACAACAGAAATTGCTTTTTAAGGCTCAAAGTATTTATAAGCAGAGGACTCAGTTTATCACAGAGTTGATACATAAAAATCAATTTGATACCCAATATTTTGTATGTAAAATTCTTCTTAAAATTTAAGTTGTAGGGAAAATAAACCAATGAAATTTGCAAATCTTTGGTAAACAATGATTATGTTGATTTGTTTGGGTTTTTTTCCCTCTTTAGGAGCCTGATCCAAATCCCATTGAAATCAATAGAAGTCTGTCATAAATGACATTTGTTTCCTGCAAACAGCATATTTTCAAAGGCCCAATTCTGCAGCTCTTATTCATGTTGAGTAGTACTTACTCATCTGAGCAGTCTCATAAGACGACTTAATTGGAGGAAAGACTGCAGAATTAGCCTCTAAGTATGAAAGGTCCTGCAGTTTACTCAGTGAAGTCACATAAAAAATCAGAACACCATAAATTCTAGGACCCCAGTCACACAAATATTACACTGTATAAGCAGAAAAAGTTTACTCTTTGAAGTCTTACAATGTCTAATGCAAGCAAAACAACACAGTAGTTCCTATTTCTTTCAACCCACATGCTCACAGTTTACCCATCTTCAGCTAGGCTTCCTGAACCTATACAGACAAGAGAATATGAAACAGTACATTCTTGTAAGTCACATTCTTTTGCAGAAGGAAACTCAAATAAATGTTTCCAATGTACAAATGAATCCATTCCTACAGCAAGAAACCAACCTTAATTTGGTGCATGTCCCCTTAACCAGTTCTGCTTCTGCATTGAACTTCTGCACACAGCCACTCAGAGGCATCTCAGGATTCACAATATTGAGCATTTACAGGAAACAATGCAGAGGGAAATATCAAGGTGAAATGATGTAAGTGCTGGACTGGAGCAGCTGGCAAAAAGACTGCACAGGATTGTCACCAAAGATACTAGTCAAGGAGGGAAGACAAAAGGAAAGGAGGAAAGGAAAACTTGATTTATTCAGGAAACCACCTGTTTCTTCAGAAGGCCTTTATGAGGATCACTAGTTTATGGCTGGAAGGACAGCTGGCAGCCAGAAAGGGAACTGAATATAAATTAATTTCCTATCTGATCTTTTAGAAAAGTCTGGGCTCTGTTCAAGTCACCGGGTAGATATGGATTGACAATGAAACTAAGGGTTTTCCTCTAGCTCCCTGATTCTAATCTGTATAATATCTGAGGAATATCATGAGCTCAAAGAAAGGCCTAAACAATGCAGCAACTTTCCAGCACTGCCAATATTGAGATATTTACTGGAGTCCTGGATAAATATCAGTATGAATAATAACATTCTGCCTACCTAATTTTTCCCAGCAGTTTCAACTGCATCCAATATTCTTCTTCTCTAAGTCCTGCCCCCTCCTTTGCAGGTACCAGGGTCTCACAGTGGGGTCAGTGCAGAGAGGAGCAAGGCTTTGGAGATGCTACATAAAGTGCTCTTTGCGCACTGCTGTGTAATGAATGTTCAGTGGCAGGAAGAGAGCCATAGGTTCCTTTATCCTCCAATTCTTCTTTGCCACAGATGGAAGTGACACAAGGGCCAAGGAGGCTACTTCAGCCATTTGGCCAAGTATTGATTGGCTGCTCTGTGACCCAGGGTTCAGAATTTGTCCCTTCTTTCCCCAACGTGTTCAGGACCCAACCAAGTTACTAGCACAGGCATTGGGAGAGTAGTTTGCTCTTACTCTCCCAACCATTGTGCTGTGCCGCTGCATTCTGTTAAGCAGCTGCCATAATTCACCCTTGAGCTGGCTGTGTGTGAAGTGATTCAAACATGTATGGGCTGTAACCTTTGTGAAGCACTTCAGGATCCTTTGACATAAAAGGTTCTACTTCGCTTTAATTTATTGGATAGAGTGAATATATGACTGCTAACTACAATACCCTGTGTGGGTAAGGCAGCAGAGACTATTAGTTTGAAATGGTCTTGGAAAGATTATGCACAAATACAAATGTACACACTAAAACAGGGTTTCCCTAATTGTGGTCTTGGGACCACAAAGTACATGCTGATGATGACTCTTCCTCATTTCCAGCTTCTAAATCATATAAGGATATAGCAAACTATAGCCAACTATGCATGGAATGCTTTCCTAATATTACTTGTCGATGTAATGGAAGGAATTGCTGTACGTGTCACAGGAATGTTACAAGATTACAAATGGGAGGAAGGGTGATTGCAGTCATGAAGGGGAAGGGAGGGACTCCAAGCTATTGAGAACCCATATTCTAAGCTTCCTTTTGTCTCAGGATCCACCAACTTAGTCACATTTTCACTATCAAATACAGCAGCTTATAGCACACACTGTACTGTAAGAAAGTCTTGGTCTTTGTTTTTGACTAAACCAAAGACCACGACAATAAGGCCACAGTTCTAATCTCAAACACACTGGTACAATCTTGTTGATTGAATGGAACTGCACCAGTGTAAAGTAGAGCAAAATGGGGCCCAGGGTCAGTCTGTCAGTCTTTCTTGCTTTCATGCTTTCTCCATGCCAATTTAGAGTAATCTCAAAAAATCTGTTTGTTGTGAGATACAGCATGGCCAGAGGGCAGCAGGAGAGTTTTAGAAGGGAGCTTTATTCCCTGTAGAGGGAAGAAAGTTTGCTATAAATTAATTAAAGCACCTGAAGCCGAGTAAAGCACCGGAAGCCAGTCACATGATAAAACCCCCCTGCTTCAATCAGACAAGAGGAGGAGTTGGAGCAGAGTGGATTGGTGTTGGAGCAGAGAGCAGTTTGGAGGAGTTGAAGCAGAGTGGATTGGTGTTGGAGCAAAGAGCAGTTTAGAGGGAAGCAGAGGAGAGTTTGGAGAAGTGCTGCAGTGGGCTAAGAAGACCAAGACCCTAGGTAAAGGGCACCTGGTTTGTGCAGAGGGAGGGCAGGAAGCCCCACAAGCTGAAGGGCAGGAGAGGGAAGTAGCACAGGGGAAGGAACCACTAGTTCTAGTGGTTTACCGCTATCCCTAGGGCCCCTGGGCTGGGACCCGGAGTAGAGGGCAGGCCTGGGTCCCTTCTTCTCCACTCCCCTCCTCTAGGACACTAGTGGGGCAGTTAATACCCCAGTTCAGGGGCAAGAAATGGTGCCCTGAACCCCCACCCAAGAAGAGAAAGCACGAGACCCATCATAGTAGTGCTGGCAATTTGCCACAGTTGGGTAAGAAATGCAATCTGCTACACCTGAGAAACAAATAATTATAGATATATATATTATGTTTACCACTTGATTATTGTGCTAAACATGCTAGGTGTGTGATTTATTGTGATGTTACATGATGGGTTGGAAGTAGGGCTGTCAAGCGATTAAAGAATTTAATCGTGATTAATCACACTGTTAAGCAATAACAGAATAACATTCAAATATATTGATTTCAGTTACAACACAAAATACAAAGTGTACAGTGCTCATTTTATATTTATTTTTGATTACAAGTATTTGCACAGTAAAAAAAACAAAAGAAATAGTATTTTTCAATTCACCTAATACAAAGTACTGTAGTGCAATCTCTTTATCATGAAAGTTGAACTTACAAATGTAGAATTATGTACAAAAAATAACTTCATTCAAAAACAAAACAAGATAAATTTTAGAGCCTGCAAGTCCACTCAGTCCTACTTCTTATTCAGCCAATCACTCAGACAAACAAGTTTGTTTACATTTGCAGGGGATAATGCTGCCCGCTTCTTGTTTACAATGTCACCTGAAAGTGAGAACAGGTGTTCTCATGGCACTGTTGTAGCCGGCGTCACAAGTTATTTACATGCCAGATGTGATAAAGATTCATATGTCCCTTCATGCTTCAACCACCATTCCAGAGGACATGCGTCCATCATGATGATGGGTTCTGCTCAATAACAATCCAAAGCAGTGCAGAACTACGCATGAACTACGTTCATTTTCATTATCTGAGTCAGATACCACCAGCAGAAGGCTGATTTTCTTTTTTTGGTGGTTTGGGTTCTGTAGTTTCTGCATCGGAGTATTGCTCTTTTAAGACTTCTGAAAGCATGCGCCACACCTCGTCTCTCTCAGATTTTGGAAGGCAGTTCAGATTCTTAAACCTTGGGTTGAGTACTTTAGCTATGTTTAGAAATCTCACATTGGTACCTTCTTTGTGTTTTGTCAAATCTGCAGTGAAAGTGTTCTTAAAAGGAACAACAAGTGCTGGGTCATCATCCGAGACTGCTATAACATGAAATATATGGCAGTTTTTTAGAAAGACATCTAACCTTGATTTAAAGAGTTCAAGTGGCAGAGAATCCCTAGGAAAAGTATTCCACTTAATTACCACCAATTGGCACTAGGAGCTTGAGTTAAATTGGCTATTTATCGTGATCTTTAGGTTGGTTTCAATGTCACTGCTTTCTGAAATATAGTCAGCCATCCTATAAGTGTGACCTACATTTTTTGTCCTAGATGTGACCCTGTAATGAAATGCTTGCTGTTCAAATTAGACCAGTGTATCAAATGATCCAGAACACTCTGTAGAAATGTTGTGTCCATATCCCTATTTACCACTCCACCACTAATAAAGATATTAAATAGGATTGGGTCACAACTATATCCTGGTGGATCTCCACTAGAAACACTTCTATTAGATGACAATTCCCCATTTACAATTACATTTTGAGGTCTGTAAATTACCCAGTTTTTAATCCATTTAATACAGCTGCCATTTGTTTTGCAAAGTGTTAGTTTCTTAATCAGAATGTCATGTGATCATGTTTTATATAAGTCAAAGTCTATTATGTCAATAAAGTTACCTTTATGAACCAAACTTTTAATCTCCTAAAAAATTGTATCACATTTTGTTTTTGTGTTGCTTCTATTACTTGCTCTGTGGCCATAGTGCTGAATTCCAATGTATAAATATTTGATCCATAACTGTTGTCATTTTAGAGCTACTGGATACCAATGCTTCACTTTCTCAAGGTCATAGAATATCAGGGTTGGAAGGAACCTCAGGAAATCATCTAGTCTGACCCCCTGCTCAAAGCAGGACCAAGCCCCAATTTTTGCCCCAGATCCCTAAATGGCCCCCTCAAGGATTGAACTCACAACCCTGGGTTTAGTTCTGGCCCTATTGTTTGAGCCATATTATGCTTTGTTAGATCCACAGAATTAGAGCTTTTTCATTATTCAACAGCTTTCTTTCCCTAAAAGACTTGGTTCCAAAATGTGCATGAATTCTTTAGGGCAGTTAGGTTCAAGTCCTGTTCACCTTATCCACACTTTGCTACCTAGCATGCCTTCAGAGAAAGCCATTTTCATTTTCCAGTCTTCTGTACCGTAATGTTTAGCAATTAAGTGGAGGTACTTTATGCCACCTTCTGTGAAGAAGCATGAGACAACTAAACTGGGAAAGAGGAGTTATCAGCAATAAATTCAGGATGGCTGGCAAGGTAAATAAATAAGCTGACTATGGAGTGGATGGAGCAGATGGCCAGTTTGAGCAGCCTAAGTCCAATCAACCCTAAGCCAAACAGCCAACACAGAGCCAACCAGCCAGCCCCGAAATAGTCAGCCCCGATATTCCAAAACTAGAATAGGCAGCCCAGAACCAAACACCCACCAAAACAAAAAAATCTGACCATAATAAACAGTAAGACAGCCAGCTTAAAAATAATAATAATAATAATAATAATTATTATTATTATTATATAATAAAAAGAAAACCCAGCAAGACAGTTAACTATCAGCTATCTAGGTAAAACAAAACCCAACTAAAAGCCCACCACACCATTCACCTCAAAGACTATCCATATCACAAATAGACCATCATATTTGTCCTTTAATTCCTGTGGTCTTCACAGATAAAAAGGTAAAAGAACTCTGGCTTAGCATATTTAC